GCCAGAGAATAAGGATTCAGCCTATGTACTGCATGAAGTTATGTACATTGCTCCTTGTTCAGCTCTGAGCCAGGATGCACAAGTTTCAATGGTGGCAAGGACTGCATTTGCAGAGTTAAAATTAGTCACCAGCTGCATTCATTATATGAGATGTCTGATTTGGCTGAGGTGACACATGTCATAGTTACATCCCACCCGCATTATCACATCCCACTCAATGTGATGCTGCTTTTGAACAGTGTTTGGAAACTTCGGCTGATTCAGAATGCTGCAGCCAGGCTGCTGATGGGCGCCAGCTACAGGAAGCATATAAATCTCCCATTGCAATTGCTTCATTGGCTGCTGGTTTGCTTCTGAGCCCAAGGCACTGGCTGTGACTTATAAAGCCCTATATAGCGTAAGTCCAGGGAATCTGCAGGAGCATATCACACCACATGAGGCTCCCTAGGTTTTCAGGTCTTCTTAGGGGGGGGGGCTTTCTCTCAGTACCAACAACCTCACAGGTTTGTCTGGTGAGATGAGAAAGGGCCTTTTCAGTTCTTGCTTCCATGGTTTGTAGAAGACACTCCCCAGGGAGTGTCTGGCTGGCCCCCTCTCTCTTAGCATCTCGAAAGTGGGCAAAGGCCTTCCATTTGAGGAAGTCTTTAAACTGATTTGGACAAGTGAGCACAACTGTGAGATGCTCTATTGAGTCCCTCTATTAGAAGGTGGCCTATTAATACAATAAATAAACATAAGATGTGAAATCATAAATCAGGTCACAAAAGCAACAATAGCTGAAATCCTATTGCTTAGCACAGTAAAGTACTGTATCTAGAATAGGGCTCACTAAATCAACGAAAGTACAAAGGAGTTGATTCCCCCAACTCCCCACCGATTCAATGAGCCTACTCTAGTACAACGTACTATCTTAAGCCACAGGATTTCAGCCAAATGGTAATTATACAAAATCAAGCAAACTGGCTATGGCTAGTGACTTGAGTAGATCTAGGTGGGAGAAGGTGTTCTGCCAAGTTTCGAGGTCCTAAACCATTTACGGTTTTGTATGTCATCATTAACACTTTGAAGTCAAATGCGGAAACAAATTGACAGCCAATGTAAAGCAGCCAGAATGGGAGAGATATGTTGGAATGTTCTCATTCCGCTAAGTAATCTGGCTGCCATGTTCTGCACCATTTAAAGCTTCCGCATCAATCTCAAAGGTAGCCCCACGTAGAGCGCATTACAGTGGTCTAATCTTGAGATTACGAGCGCATGGACCAGAGTGGTGAGGACTCCACCATCAAGATAGGGATGCAAAATTTAATAATTGCAGTTGTTGTATATAGTGGGGTGCAATCATGTGCGTACAGGGAATAGAGGAAGGGACTTAGCACGCAGCCCTGTACTCCCAAGTTGCGAACCTCACTCTTCACGGCGAGAGTCACCCCCCCAAAAAGAGAGGGAGTTTCCCAAGCCGCCAATGGAGAGGCCACCCACCCTCAGGACCTCTGTCTTGTCCTGGTTAAGGATTGGTGCGCAGACTTGACACAGCATAGTTAATTCCCAGAGCAACAGCTGCATTGGTCTGTCTCAGCATGCTGGCAAAAGAAAAAAAAGTAAAATATTGTAGTACTTTAAAGACTAACAGTTGCATTTTAGTGTACGTTCTGTGTCGGAGAAGTAGATTTCGATCCCCAACAGCTCATGCTGAAATAAAACTGTGAGGTCTTCAAGTGCTACAGTGTTTTGCTTCCACTCCTCACCCCCATGGTGATCCCTACAATGTTTGGATCACCATGGGGGTGAGGGTTCCCAGGGTTGTAAACTGGATTTGAATGCCCAGGTGCTACTGCATCTTTGCGCAAAACAAGTAAACAAACAAACAAACTAGATCTGCTGAAGCACTGGGGAGCTACATTAAGCCAGATGTGTTTACAAGTTCAGTCCAAAATAGACTCTACATCTTGTCAACCATAATGTCCTTTAGGTATGGCATTTTGAACGCAGTATGCCCCACAAGGTTCTTCTTGCAAAGATGCATGGGGTAAATAAGCAGTTGTTGTTAAAGCAGACCATCAATACAAGCTGCTTCTAATGTTTGTTTTTTTCCAGAGCCATTTGGCCTAAAGCAAAACATCAAGCTAAGCCTTGGAATTTTCCAGTAAAATTGTTGGATTGCATCAAGACAGTTTGTAAAGGAACCCACCTTCTGCTTGTGAGTAAGTGTTACATGGAATAAAGGCTGGACATGGAGCTTACTAATGCAATAGTAAGCAATTAGCAATTGTTAAAAGCATACATGGTCCTCTTAAAGAGAGTCAATTGGCTTCTTTAGATAACCAGCCATAGTGTCTACTCCTGTGCTATTCTTAAGGTGGAGAGGAGATGGCTTCTCATCTTAACGAAGGCACTGTCTCTGCTTGTAAGACATAAACAAATTCTAGACTAGATGGATGACTCAGTTGTCTGGAGATGGGGCCTCCAGATAACCTCTGACACTATTCCCCACCACTGCCATTGGAGAGGAAAAAGTGAGAGCTGCGCCTAGGAGATAATGGAGAAAACCAGGACTTTATGGCAGTTTTGTTTGGTAACAGCATGTGGTTACACACAGAGGCAAATATAGAGAAGAAAATACTGTACAGGAGAAAGATCTTACTGTGCCTGAGAGAAATATATATCCTTTGTAGATTTAAAAAAAAAATCAACAAATTGTCCTGCCAATGCTTCTTGAAACAGGAAAGGAAAAATAAGCTGTGTAATAATGTCCCCTTACTACAAAAGTACGTGAGACAAATTAAATTACACTTATCCCTTCAACAACACAGTGGTTAGGGGTGCCGGACCCCAGGTAGTCCTAAATCCGGGTATAGCTCATGCCTTCTAAAACATAACCGCAAGGCATGAATTACTAAACTACAAAGCTGATTAACACAAACACACACAGAGAGAGAACTCTCCCAACCTGCAGTACCCTCCCTGGCTGCTGCATGGAGCCACCATGCCAGGAGAGAGGGCTGGCCAGGCCACCACCATCAGACTGAGGCCTACCACATCACTAACAGTGACCTTGATAAATCTGAGAACCACCTTTCTCAGGCCGTTTTCAAGGGACGAATAGCAGCACAGTATTTAATGAATACTGATTTACTGAAATATATGTTTGTTTATTGAAAATAATTAATGTATAACAAAAACCATGTTGTTCAAACCCGTGCAATTTAAGGGAGATGTGTACGGTATACTTTTATTTAAGGGTTGGATACTAATTTTATCCCCAGATGTGGAGAACTGAGACAGGTTTTCAGCACCCCTTGTGCGGTCTCCAGATATCTATTTCTGTACAGTATTGCACTATGTAGAGCTAAGAAAGCCCCCTTGTGGGCTCTCCAGCTCAGCATGAAGGGCACCAGCCTTTCCTATGCATAGGTCCCTCGTGGACTGGGGCAGGTAAAAGGAAGCAGAGGGGAATATATTGGAACCACCAGATGCAGCCACGGTGGGACTTCTACTGAAGTATGGACCAGTGGCTACAGAGGAGGACCTTTGACATGATGCAGTGGACTGGGAGGTGTGTGAGGCTGAGGAGGTGAAGTGTTGTCCAGAAAAGCCTGGGGAGTGGTCCCTATGTGCAACTCCAACACCAGCCAGTGGAGACAACTGACAGTGTCACTAGAGGAAGTCACCCACGTCCACCGTGACCAAGCTTGTCAATGAGAGGCTCATGGGTGAGAGAACTAGTGATGGACTTAGCGCTGCAACCAAGAGGATCTGCCCCAGGCTGATCCTCCGCCCCAACTCAAGGAAGATTAATACCAAAACTCCACTGACCCACACCTGCCATTCCATCCTCCTGAGAGTACCAGCAGGTACACTTGGACTTCAGCCATACCTCAGCTGAGAACTATTGGGCCTATGGGGGAGGGGCACCGCTGGGCCATGTGGGCTGTCTAAAGAGAGGGTCCATGCAGTCTGACTGCAGGGATAGCTTTTGGTATGCATACAACACCCTTGCTTGGGCACCCCATGCCCAGCCCACCTGCCTGGCGCGCTAGATCTTGCTATGGACCCAAAACCACCCTCTCAGATTCTTGGACTGAGAGTGAACTAAAGTCTCAGGTATCCTGTTGACCCTTTAAGCTGCCTTGTTTAGTTAAGTAAAAGTTCTGGTCCTGCAACAACTTACCATATTGTGGAGGAAGACCAGGAGCCGCTCACACACTACTGCACAATGAACACACACTACAGTATAAAGATACATCTTCTTTCGAATCGGCTCATGCCCTTGGCAATGTCCATGTGAGAAAGACTACAATCCTGCAACAAACCCACAGGCCTGCACTGCGTTATCACCTACAATCAGCACTCTTGCAGGATGGGGGCAAGGGGGGGGATCCAAAATGCATCTAAACTTTCAGATTGCTGTGAAACCCCTAACCCAGCTCTGTTGAAGGCATCTGTAGTTGTGCTTCATACTTTTTCTCTCGCAGGACCATTAACACTTCCAGACCAACGCTTGGAAATCTTATTTTTTCGGACGGCCACTCCCAGAATTCCCCAGTTAGGATGCAGCAGCTGCTTACTGGAGATTCTGGGGGTGGTCGTCCGAAAAGTAAGATTTCCGAGTCCTGCCCCGGAGATACTGTGCTTTTCTTAGCTGGCAAACCTATTTGCCTTATTTCTAGAAGACAATCCCACTGAATGCAACGGAACGTCAGATACACACGGCTCTACCGGCAGTGCAAAAAACAAACATCGCAACACGAAACTGCCGGGGATGTTTCGCCTCTCCGCCCCGCAACACTACCACGCACACCTCTCCCTTCACCAACCACGATCTCCTCCAAATGATGCAACCAAGAGCAATCTATAATCCCACCCGCTCTAGGTTTGCTCCTTTTGGATTTGCTGCCGAGCCCAACAGGCTTCCATTTCCGACGGCTTTTCATTGGTCGTAAGGTTTAAGTGAGATTCCGATTGGCTCCCTATTCCTCCGAAGCCTCTACTCGAGCCACGCTGATTGGGTCGATCGGATGGTGAAGCCGGTGCCGTATCGTGGGCGGAAGTAGACTGTAGCGATCCCGGCGGCGGCGGCGGCAGCAGCAGCATGGCGACCGACGAAGCGCTGGATCTGTTCGTGAGCATCGGGCTGAGCGAGAGCAAGGCTCGCGAGACTCTCCGGAACGAGGCGCTCACCACGTTGCTCCGCGAGGCTGTCATTCAGGTCACCCTTCTCCCTCCTGAGAATTATTCTTCTGCAAATCATAGTTGTTCTGCATCTGCCCCGGACAGAGTCGGCCACCACCTTCCTCCCCCCCCCCTTTAGTGTTCCTGCGTATTTGAGACCTATCGGTCAGGCTGAAATCCAACAGATAGAGTTTTGCAGTCTCATTACATTTTTTTTTAGAACAGGAAAAAGAGGCAGCAGTTAATTTGCTCCTTGCTGTTTGCAAGAGCACCCTGCATTCCCTTCCACTCATGTGTTAGTGCAGGGGGTGGTAAGCCTTAGCATGTTGTTGGATTGCAACTCCCATCAGTCCTGTCGGAAGAGCCACTGGTCAAGGATCGTGGGAGCCGTAGTCCGAAAGTCTGGAGGCTGTCCCGGATGACACGTATTTAAAATGAGTTCAAACGATGGATGAGAGAATTTATGCATTAATATTAGTTAAGAAGAACAGCCACTGTTCAGGTCATTGTGCTTCCAAATTTCAGCACAATTGTTATAAAACTCAGGTTTGTATTAATGTATTAAAATTAGCTCCAAACAATAGCTGGTCTAATCTGGCTCTGCCACTAATTGGGCAGAACAAACAAACACATTGTCTTCTCTGCTGCAGCTTCCTTCTTTCATGTTCCACCACCTGAAAGTGAAAATGATAATTGAGCAGATTCAGGCAGGCAGAGTGAACCATATTGTGGAGGAAGACCAGGATAATTGAGCAGATTCAGGCAGGCAGAGTGAACCGGGATGTGGCTGATTTTCTATTTATGTCTTTACTTACAATGAAGTCTGTGGGTGGGTGAAATTGTTGGGTGTTGCTGAGGTGGGGTCGGAAAATGCATCAACACGCTGTACTAGTTTTTCTATTGTTAGACAACAAGGTGTTTAAATCATAGTTACCCAAAAAAGACATGATTGGGCCATATTGTAGTAAGCAGATGCTTCATGGGGTTTAAATGATTGCAGCAATGAGTAGGTGATTATAGGCTTCACAGCCTTTTATGCATACTGTGTACACCCACATTCAAAAGTACAGCAGCCTAAAACACTGGCCAGAGGCTTCAGAATGATAACTGCAGTCCATGCAGCACTTTTCTGCAGCTAGTGCGGTTCTGTAATGCTATCACTCCCCTTAAGCTGGGAAGGAAGAGAATGGAGCTAGATCTGTTGTGTAGCTCTTCTGGTGCAATGGAGCGACATCACTAGCTGCGGCACATTGCATTAATGAGAGAAATCTTTGTCTGATTTTAGGGATCATATACAAAATTGAACTGTTGCATCTGGGTTCTGTGCACTGTGAAATCCAACCTGTTGCTGCAGCTGGTGATGTCACTCCCATTCCTCAGGCAGAGCTATGTGACAGGATACTGGTCCTCTTCTGGTGCAATGGAGTGACATCACCAGCTGTGGCAGATTGCATTAATGAGAGAATTCTTTGTCTGATTTTAAGGATCATATACAAAGTTGTCCTGTTGCATCTGGGTTCTGTGTACTGTACTGTGAAATCCAACCTGCTGCTGCAGCTGGTGATGTCACTCCCATTCTGCAGGCAGAGCTATGTGACAGGATACTGGTCTCTAGCTGGATATTCCAAATGCCAAGATTGGACATCATTTTTAAGGAACCTCTTATTGCCACTTCCCTGTGACATCAGTGGATCAGATTGTAGCTTCATGTGCCAAGATGGCTTACAAGAGGGAAGGGACATCATTTTTTTAGGAACCTCTTATTGCCACTTCCCTGTGACATCAGTGGATCAGATTGTAGCTTCATCTATTGCTTCAAAGTGTCTTTTAACTTTCCCATGAACTTCTCTTCACTTTCAGACCCAAAGAATCCTTGGCTCATCTGTTGATAAGACAGTTGGCACTTTGCTATATAATGTGGCCTCTCGGCTTAAGGATCCAAAGCATCTCAGCTTCCTTGTGGAGCACATCGCTGCCAAGAAAATTGTGACAGATCTGCAGCTCAATGGTACGTGCATGGGATTTATGTTGCATATGCTCAAGGGGCTCCGTACTCTTTTCTTTCATCCTTGTATATCTACAGCTGTGCTATGATCTGGTGATCAAGTCCAAAGCATTTTCCTTGTGGAGCACATCGCTGCCAAGAAGATTGTGACAGATCTGCAGCTCAATGGTACAGTACGTGCATGGGATTTATGTTGCGTATGCTCAAGGGGCTCCGTGCTCTTTTCTTTCATCCTTGTATATCTACAGCTGTGCCATGATCTGGTGATCAAGCCCCATTCATTCTTTGCTACACTTTTATCCTGTCTTGTCTTCTGGGGATATTACAGCTATCTTCCTCCCATTCAGAGAGGAAGGCAGGCCCCCGTGAGTTTTATGGCTGAATTGCATCCTCCTCCTCAAGGATCCTCATCTGTCTGGATTTCTTAAGATCCCAGTTCAGTGCTATTAACTGCTCTATCACACCTTTTTCTGAGCAGAGAAGTATGTATCAGAGGGAAGTGAATTCTCAGAAAGGCCAGAAAAAGAGGTGAGGACCAGTTCAGTGCTATTAACTGTTCTATCACACCTTTTTCTGAGCAGAGAGGTTCATATCAGAGGGAAGTGAATTCTCAGAAAGGCCAGAAAAAGAGGTGAGGAGCAATCGTGAACCATGCAGACACAAGGTGGTGTTTAAAACAGTGTGGTGAGCAAAAACAGACCCCGTCCTTATGTATTTGACTGGATTGCAGTGCCAGGACAATAGCTGGTCTAACGCATTTAGGCCTGGTGGGAGAAGTTAGGTTTCACCATGGTGCATCTGAAGACATCCTATGGCATGGACTTCCATAGACTTGTGGAAGTTAGCCTTGAGGAGGTTCTTTCTCTAGGCATGACCTTGGATCCTGCACCAACTATTTCTAAAACATTCTTCCAAGTCAATCTACAGCCTTCCACTTCTAGCGTGGTTGTAAGCAGAAGACAAAGCTGAACCGGGTGCTGTCAGAAAGGGGCTTAGTGAATCAACCAAGGTACCTCAAGCAAGTGAACCCAAGCCATGCATCTTCAGGAAGAGAAGAATTTGCTGTAAATACTAGCCGTGCTTGTTTATCGAAACAAGCTTTTCTGAGCCCACAGTACACGTCTGAACCCTGAACATGTTCGGTCTCTGAACATAAAGCAAACATTTTGTCACGTACCCCTATCCCTTGTTTGGTTCTTCATGATTGATGGTTTTATCTTCTATTTTATCTGGCCCTTGGTCCAAGGAGCATGGATAGCATGGATTACACCTCCCATCCCAATATTGCCCTCATCGTAAATAACAGTTCTGTGAGGCTAAGGGGTTATGACTGGCTCAGGATCATCCACTGAACTTTATGGCTGCACGAGATTTTAAAACCCTTCTCTGTAAATCCTAGTATGGCCATTTCCCCCCCACACCGGCTCTCCTTCAGATCCACCCCTTTGTACTTGCAGCTGCTTTGGAGTATGTTAAAAGTCATCCCGTGGAGCCCATTGATGAGGCAGACTTCAGCAGGGAATGTGGCATTGGTGTGGTGGTAACACCAGAACAGATTGAAGAGGCGGTAAGTGTGAGCCTCATATGGCAAAGGGTACCATGTCTCTATGGGGTTTTATGTTCAAAAGTAGTGCAGGGCAGGTAGCATTCGCTAAGCTACCTCCAGGTCTCTGTGAGAGTCCAGAAGCTACTTTATGCTGCAGGCCCAAAAACAAGGCCTTGCTTTATGAGAAACGTTCCCCTTTAACAATTTTATATATAATCTGTCTGTCTGTCTCCCCCACGTCTTTCTCCCTGTGTACACACAGTTCTATACTTTTAGGACTTCCACATTTGGAGGGTGAAAGCCCCAAACCCAGAAGGATTAGACCAGTCCCTTTCTGCTTCCTGCGCTGCTTCTGCTCCAGACAGCAAGAAGACGTCCTGGTCTTGCACTGTGGCAATCTCAAGGCTCTCTGTGACTCACAGGGCTGTCTGGGAGGGCCCGTGGAGGCTGCCTCTGTCCAGGCTAAGAGGGGTCTGAGTTCATCCTCCCATTCACCTTTCCTAAATCACAAGACAGCCTTGAGACTTCCAGAGCATGGCGGTGTTCTTGCTCTTTGAGGCTGAAGTGGCACAGGAAGAGCAGGGAAGCAGGGAGGGCTGGTTTGAAGGCTTACAGTCCCTGAATCCTGTCGTGGGGAGCTCTGGGTGAATTCTGGAAATAGAAGCTCCCCCCCCATGAAACTCCCAACCCAGACATCTGGTGCTTTTTTTTAGACTACAGCTCCCAGAATTCCTCCCCCCCAAAAATATGAAACTCCCAACCCAGACATTTGGTGCTTTTTTAAAAGACTACAGCTCCCAGAATTCCTCAGGTAGTATAGCTGTCTGGTGAATTCTGGGAATTGTAGTCCATAACAAAATCTACATTTCTCTATTTCACTGGTTCTTAACCTTTGTTACTCACATGTTTTTGGACTGCAACTCCCAGAAGCCTTCACCATCAGCTCTGCTGGCTGAGGTTTCTGGGAGTTGCAGTTCAAAAACACCTGAGTAACAAAGGTTAAGAACCAGTGCTCTATTTGATGCCTATTTTTAGATTGCGAGCCTGTAGACGGGGCTTGTGTTATTTCTTTAATTTTGCAGCACCTAGTCATTTCGCTTACTTTGTTTTAAAAAGTATGTAAAGATAGTATTAATTCTTTCTGTATATTAAATATCCCCCATTAGGCTGAACTGCAAACTGCATTTTCAGTCGACAGAAATTTTACACTGCCACTGGTTATGAATCAGGTGGAGGTTGGTAGGGAAGAGATGGAGCCCTTCAGCCCCAGCCCTCAAAAGAGGCTCCAGAGGTGTGCCGTTTGTGAAGGTCTTCCTATTATCTCCGTATGCAGTCAAGGCTGGGTTTCCTTTTCTTCAGTCTTATCCCCCCCCCAAAAAAATTCTAAATCTCTTTTGCACCCCACTTCTCCTCTTCTTCTTTACTTACATCACACAGTCTCCCTTCTGTCCTTAGGTGGAAGCTGCCATCAGCAAACACAGAGCCCGGCTCCTTTTGGAGCGTTACCGCTTTAACATGGGGGCTTTGATGGGTAAGTCCTCAACTCGGGAATCTCTTGGTGCGGTTGGGGATACAGAGGGGCTCCTGCTGTGGCCCGTCTCCTCTTGACTGCGGATGTTCTTGCTCTGCTCACTCAGAACGTCAGCCATTTACACCATTCGTTTCTGCCTTCCCTTGTGAACTTCACCATCCTGTTTCCTGCAGAATCAAACAAGTAGGATGAACTTGTTGGTCACAGAGATGGGAAACTTGAGGCCCTCCAGATATTGTCAGACTCCAGCTGCCATTGTCCTGCACCATGGGCTATGTTGGCTCAATCTCTATAGTGCAGTAGTCTGTTTCACAGAGTGACTGGGAAGCACCGTCTGAAAAGCCCACCAAGACAGGACTGAGAATAATAGCAACCCTTTGCTGGTGCTGCTTCCCAGTAACTGGTATGGAGCAACATGGTGGCCAGAACCCTATTGCACCCACAGTCGTTGCATTAATGCCTAGATGGGAGTGGTATCCCCAAAGAACTTCCACCAGCACATTGCATTATTGATCATGCTGGGGACACGCAACTCTTGGTGCAATGGCATAGTCCGACTCTGTCTTTCTGAGCATAATGTCTAGCATGTTTATGCTGGTGTAACTTTTCTGTTATGCCAGCGTGAACAGGATACTGGCCACTGTCTTTCTGTACCTTAGGCAGCTGTTGTAGCACACTGGGAGAGCACCTGCTTTGTGTGCAGAAGGTTTCAGGTTTAGTCCCTTGTGTCTCCAGGTAGGGCAGGAAAGAGTCCTGTCTGACATAATGAAAAGCTGCTGCCAGTCACTGCTGCCAGTATTGGGCTAGGGCAGTGGTTCACGACCTTAGATCCCTGGGCAGTCTTGGAAGGCAACTCCCAGAAGCCCTTGCCAGCTATAACTAGTGGTGAAGGCTTCTGGGAGTTGCAGTCCAAGAAGATCTGGTGACCCAAGGTTGGGAACCACTAGGCTAGAGAAACCAGTAGTTGAATCCAACAGCTTCCTTATGTTCCTCCTAACCTGGAAGTTCCACTCCAGGTTCTTTAAGGTCCACTAAGTCATCTTAACTGCTAGCCGGTGAGCCTTACCGTCTATGAGTCCGTTTAAAACTTTTAAACCATTGAAGCGCATGGCATTGAGTCAGTAATGGTGCCAATAAATTATGTTCCCCTGAATGAACATTACTTACTGAGTAAGTAATTTCCAAAGGAGTTGGTGTATTAGACTGTTTTAGAAAAAAAAAGAAAGAAAAATTCTTCTAGCATCAAGTAGCAATTAAATTATAATGTAGGCTTTTATGGATTTTATCATGTCAGGAAAAAGAAAAAGAAAAAGTCTTCTAGCATCTTAAAAAGTAGCAATTAAATTATAGTGTAGGCTTTTATGGATTTTATCATGTCAGGTGGTTTCTAGAATTTCAGGTGTACCCATTACATGGTGTCCCTCTGCGCAGTGAGGTTGCAGGGAAGTTAAAAGCAGACAGGGCTATCAGTATTTTCTGTAGCTAAAGCTGCATTTTTCTTTGCCCTCTCTTTGACTCTATTCTGATGGGAACTGAGTAGCCCAGTATGTACAGAAATGTCTCTGCTAGAGCCAGAAACATGCCAGGCATTAGGCACCTCTTTGTGCCACACCCAGTTGCACAGGGTGCCAATGTTGGTCCTTGCTAAGGATTGGTCAGACTGGCTGGATGAAAACGGTCAGATGGGAACGGTCAGCTGTGCGTTCTGTGCTTGCCTTTTGCAGGGGAGGTGCGGAGCAAACTGAAGTGGGCGGATGGCAAAATCATCAAGAATGAGGTGGATCTACAGGTAGGGCAGATGCTGGCAGGTGGTTGGGATCATAAACTGAGGAGTGAGGGACCCTTGGCCAAATAGATGTTCTGGAGCTCCATTTCCAGATGAGTGGGGGACCCTTGGCCATATAGATGTTCTGGAGCTCCATTTCCAGATGCCCCAACACCAGGGTGACCTATTGCAGAGTTGTCATAGAAAACATCTAACCCACCCACTCCAGTCTGTGCCACTCATCTGGTTTGGAGGGAAGATGAGTTTCAATGTGATAATAAAGCAGAAAGAGGTACAATATACCCAGGACCCTGTAGCCATTTTTCACATATTTTTCATGCGGGAGTAGCAGGAGGCACTGTAGCCTATGTAAGGCTGTGTGTACTAGCAGGATGCCAAGCTGGCGTGTTTTTGCTGTCTGACTTTGACTTGATGTCTTGTTTAAGGAGAGCTATTCCACAGGGAGATGGGGTTGTGTGTGTGACTCTGGGCTGATTTGCGTTGACTTGTGGTATAGTCAATGGAAATAATACAAATCTGATTGTGCCAATCCTAGAGCATTTCCCACTTTATTTGCCACTGTAGTTACACTGATGATGTGTTTTCTTCTCCTGCAGGTGCTCCATTTGCTGGGTCCAAAAACAGAAACTGATCTGGAAAAGAAACCCAAGGTACCATATATATATAAACATCATATACGATACCAATAAATATATATACAGTGGGACCTCAACTTATGAACGTCCCTATCTACGAACATTTCGATTTACGAACAGCTCCATTCGCAAAAATTGGCATCGATTTGCGAACGGAGCCTCAACCAAGAACGGAAAAAGGCAGGGGAAAAGGGCGGGAAATTCAAATTTCCAGCCCTTTTCCCCTGCCTTTTTTCTTCCCTCGGAACACATTGATTGGTTTTCAGTGCCTTCTTATGGAAAATGGTGCTTCGACTTAAGAACGTTTCAACTTAAGAACGCAGTCCCAATATGGATTAAGTTCTTAAGTTGAGGTACCACTGTATTAAATGGGTAATGTTCAGAGGCTGTGTATGCTCCCTTTCCAGAAGACTTTGGGGGCTCTCCCTTGTCCCCTGATGTCTTTAAGCCACTTCTAATTTTTTTTGAGGGGGGGAAGGATCTCCTAAAAGAGGCTGTAAAGGTGGATGGAAGAGAACCGTGGCCGAGCTCTTTCCCTGGAGAGCACACAAGGGATCTTCGGACATCAGAGTGATAGGGGGCTTGTAATGTTATTGGGAGGCTACCCGAGGAATGTGACTGTTGAATTTCAGTTTGCTCATCCCTGTTCCAGAAGTTTATAGATACATTTATACCGTGTATAAGTGCAGTAGATTGACAAAGGTTTAATCCTAAATCCACAATCCTTTGCTCTTGGTCAAGTATTTTGATCCCATCAGCACTCAAAAGTCCATCTAGCATGATGATGATGGTAAAGAGATTTGGGGTGTTACAGATCAAAGGAACTTGGGGGGGGCAAAGGTTCCCTGTCCTTGTTTTACATCGCAATCTCTATAGTGGGCAGATAGTAATTGCTGCAGGAAGTACAGTATGTGCCTACGGGGGTAAGGAAGGGCCAACAGCATTGGAGGAGAGTGTGAAGCTCTGGTTTATCTCTCCCACATAAGGCGTCTTGTTTTGCTTCCTCTTTACTTTGCTTGTCTCTGGATCTGAGACTATGGCAGAATCTTAAACTGATTTCCATAGTCCAGGTTAAGCCTCAGAGACAAAGAAGTTTTATTTGGTTTAAGGACTTGGTTTTGTAGGACAGAGGTTGAGAATCTGTGCCTTAAATCACCTCAGCCTACTGGTCTTTCCCCCCCCTTCTTCTCCACTTCCTTCCCTGCTATTCTCTGTTTTTGTCTAACTTTATGATTATTACTTATATTTTTATTTTGCTCTAATTAAAAATGGATACCAAAACTTCTAACGACACATGTTTCAGGGTAGAAGGGAAACTGCTTTGAAATAGAACTTCCCAGATGACATCCTGATTAAACTGTATATTTTAATACAGTAAAAAAAAAAAATTCCCATTTTCAGTATGATTCATAATCCCATACTCCATGGTTTAATACAAAAAGTTTCGATTGAAGCTGTGCCCCCAGAAATAAAGAGATCCAGACTGCAGATCAATGCTCCTCGCTTAAAATAGGGGCAGATTGATATACCCTTTTGTATTTAAATCTCCACCTCAAATAAATACTAAAACATCATCACATATGCTACTCCAGTCTTTACCTAGTGTGTTAGTACTGTTTTTCTCTCTTTAGGGAGCCAAAGAGTGACATCCGGTCTTTGTGTTAACTTGAGGCAGAATTTAACAAACAACAGCAATGCGCCACTAAGTCAGTTCTGACTTATGGTGACCCTTTTGAGGGTTTTCTAGATACAGAGTATGCTCAGATGTGGTTTACCATTCCCTTCTTCGGGGGGTGCCCTGGGACTGTGCAGCTGGCCCAAGGCCACCCAGGCTGGCTCTTCCCCCTGGAAGCACACTGGGGAACTCAACTCCCAATCTGTGACTTGGCAGCCAGATACCTAAACCACTGAGCTATCCAGCCAGCAACATATATAAAGGGTCCTTCAGTCCATTTTGAGTGGAAACGTTTGATCTGCAGTATAAACTTGTTATAGTTGAAGGATTGCTTCAGCTATAACTTTTTGCATTAACCCAAAAGTTATTTTCTTTTGGGGATTTCCCTGGTTTTTAAAATATAGAAAGACATGAACATGAATCTTGGGAAAAGAAGATCTGTTTTTACAGAACAATCTTAAGGAAAGAAAAAAAATATTTAAAGCCACTATATGATTAACAAGGCAAATAGTTAACAGCAGCATTTAACTCTTGATTCACTGTAGAAAGCAGACCAACATCTCCAAGTTAGTTCTGCCAGGGTCTCTTAAGAAAATCACACCCATTGAAAAACCAGAGGGAGTTGCTATTTAACCTTGTTTCTAAAACAGACCACTCCTGCATGCCACCTTGTTTCTGCCACTCAGAGTTTTCACCTTGGAAATGTATTCAAGGATTGTATGTCTCCCACCAAAATCTAGTCCTACCTAAGGATGTGGTGGGGTCAGCAAACCACAATTTTCACCCCATAATTGCAGCTGTCTATTTTCCATTTTCTCCTGCCAACCTAGTGGTTCGAAAGCATGCAAAATGTGAGTAGATAAATAGGGACCACCACGGTGGGAAGGTTACTGTGTTCTGTGTCTAGTCGCGCTGGCCATGTGATCATGGAAACTGTCTTCGGGCAAACGCTGTCTCTATGGCTTGGAAACGGGGATGAGCAGCGCGCCCTAGAGTCGGACACGACTGGTCTAAATGTCAAGGGGAACCTTTACCTTTACCTTTTTTTCTATTTTGGGTTAAAGATGCAAGTGGAACCCTTAAGTTTTCAGAAGGTGGCAGGATTGAAAGTCAGAATCATAGCAGCAATTAATAAAGATTGTGATTTTTAAAATTTGCTAGAAAGAAAACAAGAATACTCTCCACTATTAGTTTCTGCACAGGGAGATAACATGGGTGCCAATCATCAATTTTAACTATGATATAACCTTACTGCTGTTTTCTTTTCCTTCGTGAGATCATTCCCTCTCTTTCTGAAGTTCATGCATTGAATTTTGTTAGTTGTGCAGCCAAAACATTACCCCCACAAGGACAAGAGCAAGCTATTTGCCGGGGTTGTGGAATATAAAGCTTTACTGAAGTGCAAACAAACAAAAAGGCAAATTCAAGGGGGGAGGGAAATAAGCGAGGGGAGCCTGAAAAAACTGTCTCCAATGCTTACTGGCCATAATGCTGGGTATAAGAGGGGATATAGTGGATCACCATAAATTGGAGATAGCAAATTTAAAACACGAGATAAAGTTGTGCAGATGTGTGTGTTTTGGAGCTCATCATCATCATAGGCATCCTTCAGTCTTACTATGGTAATGTGCTCTGTATCAAGGACTTGGAACAGTGTCTAGTGTTGTGAAGCCTGGGTAAAATAATATGGAGGATAGGCTGTTACCCAAGCAGAAGATCCCCCCTCTCCACGTTGCTGAAATCGTCCAATGGAAAGGCAAGAGCGAATACAACTGGTTTCAGAGACGTCGCAGGAGTTGGCAGAATGACACGAACTGCCTCCGGGACTCCAGCTCTGGATTTTGCCTCTAGGTTAGCTCCTGAAGCCTTTTCCATGAGTGGATATAGTCACAAGGCAGTGGAGGTTTGAAGTCAGAGTTTTCCTTCTCCTAGATGGGCTGCCTTCCATGGCTGATGAGTCCCACCTACCCGGCGAATTTACTGCCATTCAAGTGTTAGTGGGGCTTCGGAGTTTGATTCTTGTCTTTTCGTCCAGAGAAAAGCCTGGAAAGCATCAGCTGAGTCTCACCCCATCCTCCGTCCGCATCCTCAGGCGGGAAAAGGTATAACTAAGAGAATTCCACTGAACATTGCCTGTGGAATTCTGGGTGTTGTCATTAAAAATGCCAATCTGCTTATCTCTACCATGGGATCTACTGTTGTTTTGACAAGACGTTTGGGACTTACTGACTCAAGCCTGATGCAAAAGCCACGCATTTTGAATTAAAAAAACCCAGAGGCCAGGCAAGTGTTTTAAGTACCAGAACGGAATGGCTATCCTGGTCCTTCCACAAAAAGAAACAAACAAACAAACAAACAAAAAACCCCACATTCCTGATTACCTCAACCTTTTTTCATTTTCAGCAATAAGCTTGAGAGCAAGAAGTGAATCCTTTTGTTGCCAGTATTGTTGCCCAAAATTTATACATACAATATCTACTTTCTATCCACCCTGCTGCTCCTGTCATGACAGGCATGGGCTCCTTAGTAAACATGGCTGTAGTAAACAGGACCACACTGTCCTGGAACATTTTGTTTTGGGTCTCATTTGTCTACATCAAATTAGTCATCTGTCCTGCTGCTTTCCTTCAGAGTTCATCCCTGTTGACTCTTGGCTTGCCAGGTGGGGTAACAGAAGTCTCCCAACATTCAGGGCAGTTTAGAAACAATTGCCAGGAAGAATAAGAAGTTTAAGAAGTCTAGGTGTGCACGCCAGCACATGCGTGAAGATTTGATAGATGTTGGGTTGTGTTTCCTGCTAGGAGAGGCCTCCTCTGAAATGCTTCTGCAAGAACCAGAG